TACATTATTGTTGGTCGGCAGACCATTGTTGTCAGCTGTGGATAACACTGTGGAAAGCAGTTCACGGGGGTATCTTCCAATCACAGTTACCCGATGGTGGCTGTGCTAAGGCAGGTGCCGTAGTGGGTCCGTAATTTCTCTGCAACGACGACAGGGCTACGACAAGTCGGAATACTCTTCCCTTGGTTCGTTAGCCCTGACTCGTAAGTACTTTAGCTCCAATTGGTTGCGCTTGCGGTTCAAACTTTCATCCCTATCCCAGTTATCCGTGCGGAATCATGCCTCGAGGCTGCCCTCTTACCAGCAAGCTGTCCAATATTGCACAATGCTACTCCATGCAAGAGCTTCCTTTGTATTCGTGATCAGTCACCGAGAGTCATGCCTTGCAACGAGGCAGGCTACTTGGTCAGACATCCTCTTTCTGGGGGACAACACGCTCCAACAATACCAGCCCCGTTCCTGACTTCATATCACACAGTCATCAGTCTAGCTCCCATATCACGCATAATAGTGCCATGGCAGTGATTGTATATCATGTTCTCTTGTCACATTGTCATCGGGTCTGCCCCACGGGCACTACCCGCCAGTGTCCTGCTTATATTTTATCTTGTGCTGTTCAACTGATCAATCTTTGATCGCCGCCCGCATTTCTGGTATTCCCCCTGCCTCCAATCAGCTATTAGCCCTTGACTGTTTCCCTGTTTGCCAAATGGCCAAATGGTCAAAGACCATGTGTCCTCCATCTAGTGCATATAGGAAGTTGCCACGCACTATTCTCCCCGTGAAATGAAATTGCCGGGTGGCCACTTCTTAAGAAGTATTTTCTATAACTCCTTCCATACTACCAGTTACACGTCTTTCCCCCCTTGTTGTCGATATGTACTCAATTCCATTGGTCCTCGTTTTCCTCTTCTCCACGTAAACTGATTATCAGCTTCACCATCTCATCGATCTATATGATCCTTATCCTGATCATCATCCCATCTCTCACCGCCGGTTTTTGATATATCTGCCATCTCAGATATCTGAAACAAAAACAGATCAAACCGCCCAACTTATCTCATCGGTGATCCCTGTATTAGCCATATATCTCACGACGTCATATTTGCCGCACATCTTGGAGGCCCCTCACACCGCCCCGCTCGCAAACACGGCGCCTAGATATCATCACTTTTCCTATTTGAGAAATAGTCTGATGGCACGACGCCTCGAGGCTTGCCTCGTGTCCCAGCACTGCGCGCCAGCTATGATATAAGAACGCGCAGCCTTTCTGTTCAATGTGGCAAGTGAAATCACTTTAGGCCGTTCGGGCATATCTACCCAAAGTTTGTTACGAGCTGACTTAGACCTAAGTTGGTTTTACACATAGCTCATATCCGCGTCACCGGTCTCGTATCAAGGCCACTAGCTTCATATCAATCATGACTATTGCATGGGCTGATAGTGGCGCCGCTCCGTTCCCTCGTAGGCAGTGAAACTTGCTTATCGGTCGCGATGGGACGAATGGTTACAGCATCGTTTATTTCAGTCATGACCACAGTCCACGGGAACTTTTGACGGTGAGTGGCTCATTGTCATCATTCTCGGCTTCACACGTGATCGTCGTTCAAAACATCCGTCGGTTTTCACCGACAGCATCTGTTGGTTCTGATGGTCATCATGCGGAGTGCCAGCTCAAAACAGCTGGTTCTTTTTTTCTTCATTATTTTTCCGTCTTGTACGGCCAATCAGGGTTGATTCTCCACACTCCGGCAGCGCCGGGCGTTACTCGCGAGAACCAAGAGAACCAAGGTGAGGCAGACTCATCATAGGCTGTATGGAGACTTCCGGGAGTCGTCCACGTGCGACATCCGGCTTATTGCCGTTTGATCATGGAAGAGTCATCTCTTCCATATTGGTTTAGCAAAGTGCATTCTTTCGCATCCTGACCATAATGTCCTGAACTTGTGCCCTTTTGTCTCTCATTAATATCAGCCGTGATGGTTGTATTACGTCGAGCGGCTAGCTTGGCCAAAACCCCTATATACAATAGGTCAGCCATTTACGTTCTCGAATTGTACGAAGCAAAGACCACGTAACACAGGTACTCTGAACTCCTTAAAGCTGTTACACAGCCCAGTGCCTCATTGTGGAGCTCATAATTACGCGGGGAAGTCACTGTGTAGAGATCGAGCTCACTCTCTGGGGTCCTTTCAGCAGCCCCATTTGATCCTTACTGCCCGGGGTTTCATTTGAAGCTTCGAAACCCCTAGAACTGTTTAGTGATGTGGTAAATATGCTATGCTCGCATACCTCAAATGCCATCTAGCTTACAATTGAAGACAGCATCAAGTCTTGTTCTTAATATCCGAAAGACGGTGCAGGAAGACACGGCAGGGCCTCACTAACTAGTTTGGTTGGGCAGACCAGAAGCTTGCACAGGGGCCTTTTTAGGTTAAATTGATCTTCTAAGTTCTGTTCTTACAAACGCTGATAATCTGAAAGTGATTCATGCGCTAATGCTCGCACAGGGACCATTTTAGGTTAGTCTCACAGATGCTGACAATCCGCAGGTGACACAGGAAACTGCCAGTGGAAAGCCTAAAAGTATCACATGTACACGATTCAAGGGAGACTTATCCATGGCTCCACTATCGAGGCTGCCGGTACCTTTTTGCGAGCCTCTTGCACCCCCTGGAATCAGGAGGGGTATCAATTCTGAAGTGGTGCGAAACGAGGCAACGCAGTCGCGCGGCCGTTCCCGCGCACGCAAACCTGGGCCCGACATACGGTATAAATACAGAACATCAGCGGCCTCTTGCCTTGTTTCTTTTGGATCATCAAATGGTAAAATACAGTTCCGAAAGAAGATGGGCGCAAGTTCCCAGTCCAGGTCCGTCGACTTATCTTTGCATGGTATATCGAAATTCGAAATTCTAGACCCTGATGAAGCTCATTACCGAGTTGACCTATGACGATAGCCGTATTACAGTATGGGGGACATGTATCGGCTCTTGGCTACAAATCCTCAAGCTTCAAGCTCCTGAACTGTTTGCAACCCGTTTGACCGTGAGAGGTGCGAATATCGCAGTTCCGACATTCACCAAGGAACACCGAGGCATTCGAGCTAACTCTCGTGAGGATATCATGCAATTCGGCGTTCGATGTGAAAATTGTAACCGAATAGATGAGTCGTAATCTTAAAACACAGCATGTGACATATGTGCAAATGAACAAACGGTACTACTATTTGCAGTCTGGGAGTCCCGACGTGTTTAACTTGACCCTGGCATACGGGCGCGTCGCGGCGTTAGGCGATAGGTTGTACTAACATGCGTTATCCGCCACGTGTCACACAGCACTATAACATATTGCCTCTACTTCCTCCTCTAAGACTGCTTGCCTGGGTTACTTTATCGTTGAGCTTATATACACAGTGGTAATCGTTCAATACAGTGCTGTCACTAGTCTTCTTCAGTGCAGTGAGTACGTGTCGCCTGTCACCTAATCACCATTTCGGTACAAAATTTCAAGGTGTTTCACAAAAACAATCTAAATGAGTATAGAATATTCACTAATGATTTTTGGCACATATAGCAGTCTGATTCTTGTCGTGCACCGGCTCCGGCTTCTTCATATCCGGAGACAAAAACATGTCCATGTTCTCTTCCATGTGCTTTCCGTTAGCCCAATGCCCGGAACCTGGCTTCCATGCTTCTTCCGCTCCATCCTCAGGGACACCTGAAGCTCGTTCAGTTGACTCTCATATCAAGGTCGATTTACACATTATCTACTTCGCTTCCGCAGGTATCAGGGGCCTCGGAGTACCGTGTGCAGTAACTACTTTTTTGGTGGACTTTGAGTGGCACTCAAGGGATGTTTGCTCGACTGTCACGCAAATCTGCCAGATGGCTGGATGTGCGCGTTGAACATGCAATGTCTGGCAGTGACAATGGCATGGTAAGTCTATTCCAAGGTTGTTTACCGTCGTCATCTGAACTGGCGGACGCCTCACAATTTAGTTGGTCGATGTAAACGTGCTCACTTGTCTCGACTTATCGTGGCGCGGGCTGTGTGGCCAAACCATCGAGCCTGTGTATCGTGGCTTGAAACATGTTGTGGAGGAAGACTTGGACACAGTTGCTAGGCTGTTGTCTGAGCTAGATCCCTTTGGTCAAGAACTGGAACAGGTACGTCGCGCTTCTGTTTGTCTCACTGGACTACGTAGTTAAACTGGAACGAATTCTTAGACGAACGAAAATTTAGAAGTAGCTCCGCAGCCGCAGCCGTCGTCGTCGCCGAGCCACAGAATTTACTTGGCAGAAGAAAGCGCATATACACGTCCTGAAATTTCACTACCAGAACGACCGAGAAGAAAGCGTAGGCGTTCGTCTGCTTTAGTAAGTCTGATCCAAGTGTGTGCAAATTGATGTTCAACTTGTTTCAAAGGTCGAACCGCTCGTCATCAAACCTACGCACCCTTCTGCTCCGACAATTATCGTTTCGCCGTGTCCCTCTCAGGCGCGTGAAACCTCGTCTTGGGTACCGTATCAAGATGCAGCATTTGGCGCGCGCCTCACAGTGCCCACATACGCCCCATCAAACAGCGCATTTCCGCCCCTCGTAGCTCCATCCAATCTTGACAACCACGCTGATGACTGGATGTACGCCAACGGTCATTGGTGTGCCGTCCTTCCCACACATGATGAACAGTGTAGAAGAGGGCTGTACTCTAGGAGCATGGTTTCTAGGCGACGTTCAAGGCTACGGCCTCCTTGTCAGACGGACGTTTGAGTCTGTTGGGCCGATCTACCACTGACTTCCTTTGTCCCTCATTTTTTGCATTCGCCGTCTTGGGCAGTTCATTCCATAACTATATTGCACTGTATCTATCATGTTATCTAACTCATATATTTGTTCACTACCGTCGTAGAGATTAACTTATCGTCATGATTCAGGTCATTGAGCGGAAATGGGAGACACGTTTACTTGACGTGGGAAATTATGATTATGTGCCGTTGGCCTCCTCACCCAGTTGCCCCACAAACGTACAGACCTGTTCTTTATCTCCCCTCCTTTCCTTTCAACCAGGACTGACTGCTAAAGCCAGTTTTATCAGGTTCAGTGCTAACCGGAAGTTAATCCAGTAGTACTACGTATTATAGTAGTGACAACCCCAAGCGTTCAAGTCTCTGACATGTCGCTCAAAGCGCTCTTCTATGCGTACATCTTAGGCGGACTGACACTCATCCCACTTCTCATCCTTATCGTTGTCGGCATCGCCATATACACCTCTATCCCCGTGCAAACCAACTCAGGCAAAGATGCCAAGCCAGAGCCCCACACCGATTCGATTGAGCCACAAGCAGAAACCGAAGATCCTGCCTCACCGCTGGAAGTAAATGACAAGCCCAGGACGCGCAGTGGTTGGCTCACCATGCGTAGAACGTTTGAGGAATCTGCGTCTTCCGATGGCTCGTACGTCACACTCGTCCGTTCCTACCTTGATGCGCGCTCCAAGGACCCTAAGCGCTCACGCCCAAAGGACATGTGGTACGTTGTCCTTAAGGGCACAGTTCTGTACCTGTACGAGGACGAAAGTAGGACGGAGTGCGAAGCTGCTATAGAGTTGGGTAGACATGAGGTGTCTGTTTACCCGGATGGACTTCTGGACGGGGAGCTCTACACAAAACGGAATGCCATATGCCTGCGCCCAAGACAAATGCCCGAGGAAAAAGTGGTGCCGAATGTGGCAAATGAGACAGCATCTCAAGATATCAATATTGATGAGAAGGTGGAGGAGGCAGGTGGAAGCTTGAAGAAGCGGACGGCTGAACGCGAGCGACTTCTGGAAGAAGAGAAAAATCGGGAAGCTGCACGACAAGAGGCGTTGAGCGCATCGAAGCCTTGGTTCATCTTCGTGCGCTCCTGTGTCGAGATGGAGGATTGGTACTTTGCGCTCGTGCATGCATCTGAGCACCCGACTGGCACGCCCACTCTCGACCCACTCCAGAGCGTATTCCTCCCTTCAGAAATGAACAAGCTTGTCGTGACTCTCGATGAGCAACCTGATGTCATCCCCATGCGCTGGTTAAACGCGTTACTTGGACGCGTATTCTTCAGCTTCTACCGCACACAGATGCTAGAGTCGTACATCATCGGTCGTCTTATGAAGAAGCTTTCCAAAGTCAAGCGCCCTGCATTCCTCACAGACATTTCCGTCACCAAATTCTCAATTGGAAACAAGGCCCCGACACTTAGCAAGCCGATGTTGAAGGAGCTTACAAAAGAAGGCGACGCATCGCTCGAGGTGCGCTTTACATACAAAGGGGAGGTCCGTGCGACTGTTGAGGCTACCGCCACAATCAACCTCGGTGCTCGCTTTAAGTCGTACACCGTTAAATTGGTGCTGGCGGTCATTCTGCGGGAGATAGATGGAAACCTCCTCATCAAGGTCAAGCGGCCACCGAGTAGTCGGATATGGTACGCGTTCACGCAGACCCCGCGTGTGGTCATTGATGTCGAACCCATCGTGAGCGATCGCCAAATTACATGGAGCATGATACTTGAAACGATCAAGTCAAGAATCATTGAGGTGGTGAGTATCTTTGGTGATCCATCATATTAATCACAATCTAATTGTACGACTAAGATACAAGAGTCCGTCGTAATGCCCAATATGGATGATATCAGTTTCTTTGACAGCTCGCCATATCTACATCGTGGTGGACTTTGGTCAGATGCTGCGCGGCACGAGCAGTCAGAGCCCGTCTCGACTTCACCAGTCGGTGTAAAACCTGCGGCATCCGAGGCAGACATCCCATCTATTTCAGGTACCGAAGATATCACGGCACCGTCGATACAGCGTTCGGTGTCTGCTGAAGATCTGGTGGTTGATGTATCATCACTAGGAGGCGTGCCAGTCATTCGTTCTGCAACCACTGGGGCCTCAGACAGCACTGTAAAAGTCTCTAGGCGGCGGCCTGGTGGAGATGACTCAGATGTGGGCGACGATGTCGAGGAGTCTGATCTTCGTGGACGACGGAGTCGCGCTACAAGTTCTACAATGCCGAAACAAGATCCTCCTACCAACTCCCAAACAAACAAACCCACTGGCGAGATGGAGTTGGAAGAAGAGAGGCCTGAGTACCTGTCGCCACAATACCACGGCCGGTCCTCGTCAGCACACTCTTTAGCACGTTCCAGGTCTTCTCGAGCGGATTCTGTCTCTTCTTCAGTCTCGGTCGGTGGTGACGAGTCCTTCAATGGCCCCTCTGACTCTGGCACACCCTCCAAGAGCCCTAAACCCTCTGCCGGTTCGAGTACAGCGAGCTCTTTGTTCTCTACGCTGAAGTCGAAAGCTGCAGACAAGCAAGCGCTAAGCAACACTGCTAAGGAGGCGATGCGTAAATGGGGGGTCAATTGGGGTGGTCTTAAGAAAGATAGCAGTGTCAACTCTCAGGATGACATTCCGGACGTCGGTCCTTCGGATGCTCGCATCCGGACAGAGAGTCCACATGGGCGCCCCAGTTACGCAGAAGTGCGTGCTGCTGTTGCCGAACGAAGAGAGCGCAGGGACGACGGTGGGTCCACCCCTATTCCCATCCCCAATGGGAAAGAAAAGAGGTCCACAAGCCTGTCGAGCGGTCATGTGTCATTATTATCTGGTGCACCTGCATCGCCTCCCCATATGATGCAAGGCGGCTCATCGGAAGGCAGCTCCTCATCTAGATTTGTCGCACCTTCTCTGTCAAAGTCGGCGACAGAAAATGATCCACTCCAGGACCGTGGTTTTACGGATGTCACAGAGGAGCACCGCAGGCCATCTGTCATTCATACCCAACCTTCACAGGCGCGGACAATGACAATTCCTGGGATACATGCAAGCCATCGCGGGGAACCCATGTCAATGGGAAACATTGCGCCATCGTCAACACCCCCGGAGAGCAAGCTGAAGGGGCCTGCTATTCAAAGCATGTATCGCTTATGGAAAAGTCCGATTCTGACGGGTCAATCACAAGGCTCGGACAACCAGTCGACGCCTATACGCGCAGACATGGATGAACATAATGGGGATGTTGCCCCGCTTAGCCTTTCTGGCGATGTCGCCTCACCATCTGCACGACCTCTTCCTCCACCTCTTCCTCCGCGGACGGTATCATCTGTACCACATACTACGCCTGATTCGTCCAACGATGATGTTCCCTTTGTATCACCTGCATCAGAAGAGATGGGAGGAGCTTCGCCGGTGCAGGGATCATCAAATCCATCCTCAGAGGCAGATGAAACGTCACCAGCTGTTGGCATATCTGAACCGGTAATTGTCAAAGGACCGGATAACAGGCCTCCATTGCCTCCGCGCAGGTTGCAAACACCCGGGCCAGCAAGATAGCCAACATTTGAAAATTTGCTAGTTCATGTACGTCACTCATCTGCATTGCATTGTTCTTATCCAGTGTTCTGCCGGTCAGTGTACGTTTATCAAAGTTAACGTACGTTCAGCCGCGAACTTTCCCATGAATGCAAGTGAACTGAACTCGTGCAGTGCCAGATGTCCTGCTTGAATATTAGATAATCATATCTGATTGGACGATGAAGCAGGTTCAAAGTGCCGCAGTACACGGTGCGTCAACAATCGCAGAATGGATAGTACTCGACTACTACTACTATAACATCTGGTAGCACTGCTCATTTATCTACTCGTCAAGAACATCATCAACTTGAGGAAAGTCTGGATCATCAATTCCCTCGGCATCTAAGTCAAGAAGCTCATATAACTCAAGCTCAGCATCCAAACCTCGAATAGCGACTTTATAAAAAGATCCCAACTATTCCTCCGCACGAGAATAGTCGAGTAAGTCACTGATAGCAATGCGGGAGAATGAACCACCGGCACCGGCAGCACCAATGGGGACTGAGTGCATTGATTCTGTGGTGGAAATCTCCTTCTCCTCCTGAACAGCTCGGATAAGGTCTGCTGCAACATCACTTATCCCTCGCCTCTCGAAAGCGAGGCTGGGTGGCTCCCGTTCGCTGCTTTCTCCTGATAGATTGTCGCCAACTGCATGAACTACTTGAGTAGGCTCTGCTTTGTCAGTGGCCTCGGTGTCACAGTACCGGCGTTGAAGCCACTTCTTGACCACATCGTTGCGTACATGCTCTTCGTGAACATACATCTTGAGTTCTGCCAGAAGGGTGAGTGTCTCAGTTGCGTTGGGGATCATTCGGGCCACTAGCCCAAACTAGTACATTAAGTTAGTAACAGAAAGCTATAAAACAAACTTGCGTACGAGTGCCTGCTATTGCCACTTCGTCCCTTGGTGCATCTCGCTGGCCCAAGTGTACCTGCTGCTCATCCATTGCCTGCTCATGCGCAACACGTTGCTCATAGAGCCTTGCACACACTACCTTTGCCTTTCCACTGACCATCGAAGCTGGGTCTTTGACAGCATAACCTGGGTGCTCCACGAAGTGATCCCACCACCATCCTTGGTTTGATCTCTTGCCGATCTTCATGGTGTGTCAAAAGTCGGGAGTCCATCTTCGAGTTCTAAGCCTTAAAACGTACCCTTGAACCGAACACACGAAAACCATGCGTTTATGTGAGTAATGATATGTGAAGCGGCACGAGGATAATCAAAGATTCTAGCATTGACCAGATATAGTATAGTTCGTTACAGTAGGACCAGGAAACTCCTGAAAGTCGTGTTCAGATGAACGTCGACGAAGTTCGCCAGCTTTCCCACGCAATCCGGTCAATGACCGTGAACTTGGTTCACTGACCGGCAGAACACTGTTCTTATCTCTCGCTCCGTACTTTATAATCAACGCACGTATTTAAAAGTCAAATCAGCATACTATGACCAGCCACAGCATGCTCTGATATGTCACGTCAAGTCCCCGAGCGCCGAAAATCATTTGTTTTGAACTGAAAATGAAAATTGTTTGACGACGTGGCAAGCCAGCGAAGTAGAAAATTTAAATTACCTAAGCATGGGCCTACTATTGTCATCATTTGGTAGCACCTCGTAAAGGCTACGTACTTACTATCAACTTCTTATGGTTACTTTTACCTCTTATTGATGTAAGTACGGACTGGATAGAGAACGTTTGTATCGTAAAAGTTAATGCTTTCGGTTCGACACGCCTACCGGTTCAACTAATTTGACAAGAGGTTCCGAAGAGGTGGTCGTCAGGGTGTCCGTGGCCGTAACAGACTCGGAGAGCGTGCCGTGCACGAAAGATGGCCCTGGTCCAAGCTTCGACATTACTTACTATTTGAAACGGAAGACCATTGAATATCCATGTTTCTTTTTGCTCTTCTCTGTACTCCGTGATCATCATCAAGTATCTGCAAGTCAAAGATCTAGGCAGCTCTAAGCTGTGAACTCAATTCCAAGTTTCATTCTGATATTCCTGTCACCCCCACTACCTCAGTTATATAGTAAGCGGCGGGAGGAACAAGTTGCTTTTTTTAAAAGTCTGGTTCAACTGCCAACTGCTCAGAGATTTGCTTTCCTACTGTCATGTCCAAAATCATGTCCTACACGACCCGTAAGGATTCTCCATCATCCTTTGACGTCGTCTTACCCATTTCAGCTACTACTACTACTTCTCTCCAAATATGCCCCAACCTTGAGGCCCTTCTCCAACATGACGAACTTACCCGCCGTGGTAACGGTTCTCCAACTGGTCTTTACCATCCTATCTCGCACTCGTCGGGATTTGCTGTCAGTCTTGGGCCACCACCGCCTCGCAATACAGTCAAGAAGGCGGCTCATCACGAAAACCGCGTCAAGGAAATTCGGCGGAAGAAGAGTAACGTTAGGTCTGATTCTTGGCCAGACTCCCTAAGGCCCGCCACGAATAGTCCCGTCGGTCATTCAAGCCCCGCATCCTCCAGATCTGCTACGCCCAATCCTTACATCAGACCAACACCCGTCGTGCCGACTATTAATACATTTGGTGCTAGAACAGCAGGCAAGTACTTCTCTTGATCATATCTGGAAAGATAACACGTCAACTCACACGTCACCAGGTCCCACATCACATCTGTCACCACATAATGGTCATGCTAGTTCCACAGAGACAATAGTTTCGCTTGCACATAAGAGTGAACCAGATGTCTACCACACCTCACCGGTACATCCCTTCCCTTCCAGTCGCTCGTCACCTACTTTGGATAAGGTTGAGAGGATGTTTACAAAGGGGCGGGAGTCTTTAAGCATTCTCACAAGTGCTGCTATTCCCAGCAGTATGAAGCCAAAACAGGAAACTCACGTTGATTTCCGGCCTCATCGCACAGAGTTGGCAGAGTCCAGCGCTTATCAGTCATCTCTTTCAGGTCAGCTTCTTCCAAATATCACAGTGAGATGCTAACGTTGGTTTATGGCTGTAGTACCCCAAGTGCGACAACGGCGAGGATCCGAATACCGAGTAATGTCGCATCAACTATCCGCGTTTGGGGATGCAGAGACAGCCTCAACTTCTAATGTTTCCTTCCTGACAACTGAAACGCGGCAGTTCTCTCCTGTGCGAGCCAGGTCCCCCTTCTCCACTGGTACAGACACGAGTGCCAACTCACCTTTGGTTTCATCTCCACGCTCCCTCTCCTCTCAATCTGGTTATTCGCCGTCAACAGTAGCCATATCTTCTAATTCATCAAGCACACATCACGCATCTTCATTGCCTCATTTACGCCCCATATCCCCGATCGAGATGCCACTTCTGCCTTCGCTGCAGAAACGAGCAAGTAATGACCAGCAATCATTCATCGATTTTTTCCCGCCTTCTTTGCCAGTTCTCCAGCATGTTCAAGACGACCCATCTATTATATCCAGTCGCCGTCCATCTTCAACGCCTATATTATCTTCAAGCATCTATTCTAGTCCTTCTTGTAATTCATCTTTGAACGACCTTCCTAGCATGGTTTTTGCCCCGGCCAGTCCTACTTTTGCCGCCAATGAAGGACCCGGTTCCCCACGACACTCGCGACGGAGCTCTTCGGCATCCTCATACTCAGATGTTTCGGCAATGATATTTGCTCCCACAAGCCCTACTTCTGGTCCATATTTGTCACCTATTTCCTATCGTCCCGGTTCACCATGTTCTTCTGCGACCTCGCTTCCAACGCCCGAGTTTGTACCTCCCAGTCCTGCATTCCTTGATACCACAGATACCTTGAAACCACCCATTCCAACTACTGCGAAGCCTCTGTTCGAAAGAAGGGATCGTAAATCCCGTTTCCAGAAACGTTCTATTTCGACTTCTCCTCAGCCACCCCTTCGTCTCAAAGTACCTCTACCACCGACGACCAACACACTTGACGCCAATGAGCGAGCTGATCTCATACGGAGAAACCGCAAGTTGGCGCAACTGTTAGGACAAACCCCGGCTGTTGAAACGGCTGCGTCAGAAGTAGAAGAATCACGTTCATTCAAGATGCGACCACAGCCCCCCTTCTCTGCTTTGCTGGGGTCATCGAAGCAGAAGCATCATCGTCATGCGATGTCTGTATCTGTTGCCGTAAAGGCTCCCGGCTTCAAATCGGAACCGACATCGTCATGGCAAGTCGTAGACTACCCATCAACACAAAGCGGTCGCAGATATTCCACTCCCTACACTCCACGTAGCTTTACCTTCTACCTGGATGATTCACCGGAGCCACCGGCCACTCACGATCATCACGGCTCGTACCGCCATTGGGATCCGCAGCATCAATATGGTTCTCAAACTTCTTTCATTGATCTTTCAGACGAAGATAATTCAAATGATGCTTCGGATGCGATCAGTTTAGACATGCCGGACACGGCAAACAGTCGCCGAATCTTCCATCATTCATCCTCGACACCATCTGTAGTGGAGACGTTTACGCCCGTGGAACAAGCCGAAGCCGAGAGAAGAAGAAAGCGTGACAAACTGGCTAAACTCCACCGTTTTCTCGGCTCGCGCGTCCCTACGGACTTGGTCATTGGTCATATAGCTGGTCCGTCTTTACCTCCATCGTCGATGCCTGTGGACGGCCGCGACATGTGGCTTTACAGGCGAAGAAGTGGTTCATCTGCCCTATCGTTTGAACGTGTCAAGGCTGAGCTCGATGATGAAGAGAAGGCTGTGAATGTCAGACGTGCTCAGAAAATGGAAAAAGTTTGTGATTCCTTGTTGCTCGTCCTGAGTAAGGCTCATCATTTTGATCAGCTTTTCGGGATCCCCCCTCCGCAAACGTTGTACCATACTCGCCAAGCTCCTGCAACAGTGGCCCGCTCTCAACCGGCATCCCCTGTAGCGTCGCTTATGACCCCGACTTACGTGTCCGCCCATACTTCTGGTCTCTCTCGGCGTAATCCAAACCAGACCGCGTACATGAAAGGGAAGAAAGTGCATCGCCCAGGAACTTCGGATTCGACTACGTTCCTACTACCCTTCAAGAGTGCTAGCTCTCCAGAGCCCGGTCAGACGTCTGGCTATGCGGATACGCTTGCACAATCTTCTGTGTACATGAACTATCAACATTCTATCGCGTCGCTGACAGACATAATTGACCGAGTGAGTGAACAGATTTGGAATCATGTACTGCGCTCACCATTTTAAAGGATGACAGGGCGTCTCTTGCGGAGCTTCATCGGTTCCTCCACGGCGATCTAGTGGAATCTCCAACTGAGGAACAGCCCTTGCTAGAATCTCATAGGATTTCCGGCTCCTCATATTCGTTCAAGTCGGAGCGTAGACTTTCGTTACCAACGCGGACATCCATGGCGTCGTCGATAACCACCGATTTACCCATGTCATCGCCCCAGGAGTCATCTGACTTCCAATTGCGCAGGCGACGAGCTGCCAAATTAACGCATTTCTTCGGCGTGGATTATCGTGAGCTTATTCATGATATTCTAGAAAGCATCGAGAAGGGCGTAGAAGAGGAAAGGAAGAGAGGGACACTTCGGCCCGAGGAAGTTGAAGTGAGTTCAGTTATGTTTCATGAGATTATCCACTAAATGTTTTCTTGACACAGTCTCTGCTGCATAAGCTTCATCACCTTCGGACAAGACAGGATGGATTTTTATGATGATGATGATCAGTACTATATTACTATTACACTCTTTAACTTGTCTCAAATGTTATCTCGCTTTGTCGTGTTTCAGTTTGAAGTTTGAACCTCAACGTGAATATTATGAATGACAGATATCGACCACATGCGAAAGTCAAACTTTGTAGTCTAGATGTGTGAGATGCAACTAATAGCAAGTATTTCATAGAATAACTAGTTCTCCATCACACGAATGGCACCAGAATATGTGAGACTCGTCCATAAACTGTGGTCGCCGGTGTATGTGCTGTGCATGCCAGGAAGGAGAGTCGGGCTCCTGTCCCGATACTTCGTTACCTTGCGGAACAGGCGAAAGCTGTCGCGACGAAGGATAACCACTAGCTGATGCTGCAACCTCACTATCAATACGCGCTTTTAACATGCCAAGGCTAACTTGACGCTTGTGACGAGTTTCGGGTGAGAGTCCAACGTCAAAGACAGTCCGCGGGGAAGGTGGGGCGAGATTGCTTGATTTGTGAGTGAAAGACCCACGTCGTAAATCAATGGGATTAAGGGTGCGACTGGAAGGTCTGCCTGGCACTCCGGGAGAAAACGGTCTTGAAGTTGCTCTCGACGTGGAGCGTTGTTGTGCGAGCTGATCCTCTAAGATGTTGATTTGCTTCTGCAGGCTATGCGACTTTGCCTGAGCTTCGAAGACGGTGGTCTCCAAAGTGCGAATTTGGGAGTTGGCATTGGAGAGATCCATAGCGTGTTGGACTCTGAGTGCACTGATCATCTCGTCATCCAGTGAACGAGGAGCAGCCTCGTCTGATGAAGAGGTTCGAAGGTGCTCTATCTCATTATCCTTGGCGTTCAATTCTGCCTGCAGAGCTTCATGCTCGTAGTTAGATCGTTCAATGAAGGCACGGTGTTCCTCGTCAAGCTTCCTGTATGACCGAAGGTCCGACTCCAAGTGGGACATTACTTGCGAGTGCTGGTCGGATTCCACGGAGAGCCGGTCAATGATTTCTAGCTGACGCGCCTCAGTTTTTCGCAGCTGTGCACGGTCCCCCTCCAAATTGAGCACTGCCGCCTGGGATGATTCTAGTTCCGCCTGCAGTTCGGCATAGCCCTGCTGTAGCTCAATGATCGACTGTTGCAGTGAGACTTTGTCCTTCTCATGCAACGAGTCTGCTTCTTTGCGAGTTTGAGCTGCCTCGGCCTCCCGCTCCACCGCCTCGCTAAGCGCATTTTCGAGTTTCGAGATGAAAGCATCTCGTGAAGTTTTTTCATGCTCAAGCTTGTCGATTCGTTCCATCAAATCCAATTTGGTGGAAGTAAGCTCCACAAACTTGGGTCGCATCTCATCCAGAGATTGCATCAACCTTGTGCCCTCTGTTTGTAGATCTTTCTGCGTCCTCTCGGCTTCTTCAGCTCGCCGATTGGCAGCCCTCAGGTCGCTATGGGCATTCTGAAGAGCACGGTCGCTCGACGATAACTCCGATGCGACCTCACCAAGCTTTTGCTGAAGCTGCTTAATCGCGCTTTGGTTGAAGTTAACCTGAGACTGGAGTGACGCGCGCTCTTCGAGTAACGCTTCACGATCTTGGCTGGCAGAGTGGATACGTTCTTGGAGGGATGAGTGTTGCTCTTCGAGACTTGCGTGCTTAGCCTTCCACTCCGTTTCACTATCAGTCCGCAATTGAAGCTGAGATTGTAATTCATCCTTCTCGTGTCTCGCGCTCGCAAGAGTCTACTTGTTTGGTTAGCACTGGCGGATGGAGAGGTAAATAACTACATGCCTGTTTGAGCTTAGAGAGGTGAAACTCGAGCTCTTCAGCGCGATCCTGAGTGTTCTTGAGTGACTCCTCCAGCCGTTCAGCACGATCATCACTTTCTATTTGCTCCTCGAGTTCACGAACACGTTGTTGATGCTGTTCGGATCCAGACTTCACTTCCTCCAAAGAAGCATTGAGAAGCTGTAGTTCTCTTTCCTAAAATAACTTTGAGCGGGGCACTCTTGGTAGAACTAGATTGCTCACTTGATCTCGCGACTTTTCAGCTAGATCTCTTTCTCGTATCAGGGCCTCTTGTAGCTGCATGTCGAGCTTAGAGGAACTGCTCTCCAGGTCTTTGACGCGTTCATCGAGCGACTGCGATTTTTCGCGTTCAGCCTGGAGCAATCCACCTTTCTCTTGAGTCTCTAGACATAAAACACAGTTAGACGAGAACGTCATTGAAGTAGTCAACATACCCATCTCAAGCTCCTCCAGACGGGCAACTGAATCCAGCAATGATGTCTTTTCTGAAACAAGGAGGGAAATGGTCTGCTGGTGGTTTTCATCCTGCTCGTTCCGACGTTTAGTGAGCTCCATCTCTTTATAGTGACAGTCTTGGATTTCCACGCGTGCTGCGTCGAGCTGGTTTGAAAGCTTCTCGGCCTCTTCCTTGTGCAAATTCGATATGCGACGGTGATCATCAAGTTCCTTTGCATGACTCCGGCGAAGCTCATCAGCCTGGGACTTCAATCGTTGAATCTCTGCCTGACTTGAGCGGTGCTTGTCTTCCAATGACCGCTTCTCTTGGACCACCACATCTGCACTTCTTGACGTATCTTGAGCACGCTGCTGTTCCTGATCAAGCTGAAGCTTAAGTTTGCTCTTTTCTTCTTCGAGCTTCTTTAGCTGAGCTTTAGTGCCTGTGACAGCGAATAAGACCCAACCGGCATGAAACCATAGACAGACATACCTGCCTCGAGTGCTTCTAGGCGACTTAGCGAACTCCGCAAGCTACTGTTCTCACTTTGAACAGAAGCTATTGTTGACTGCAGGGATGTCACCTGAGACTGCAACGACTCAGCTTGCCCAGATGAAGTAGGCGCATTTGTTGACAGAGCATTGGAAACTGTCGAGTGCGGCACGTTCGCTCTAGATAGAGATTCGATCCAGTTCGCGTCTGAATCTGCTGGTGTGAATCTAAGAAATAATGAAAGTAGGTTGAGCGCGATAAATGGGTCAGAGATCACAAACATACAGGTCAGCAACATCATTCTTGGTGTCCTCCGTGGAGGGTGCGGACTCCTGGAGAGTAGGAGTAAACGACCTTGACGGTGGTGGACTTGCTAACGCGCCGCTACCAGCAACCTTTTTCCGACGTTGCTTGTTGAGCTAAAGAAATACGTGAGCCTGTGAAATAGCTGAACTTTCCGAGGATGCAAACCAAAGCCTTTGCCCTTGCGGTCTTCGCGGCGCGATCATCATCCTCAGACATTTATGAGAGACTGAATCAATCGTCAGTAATAGCCAACCTCGAGTAACGCAATGAAGGGAGAGCAATTCAGTGAAGTGCAAGTAAGAAGAGCTCGTGTTTAAGTCTGCTGCAACACAGATAATGGTAGATTTTGTCGCGACCAAAGTTACGGCTGGACACGTTTCGTAAAGTTACACGCCCGCAGCTTACTGCAACTTCAAGCAAGTACTGACAACACAAGTGAATATTAGGCTACTATAGGCCATCCCGATCTTCTCAATTCACGCACGACAAAAAAGCAATTAGTAAAAGAAACCTGATTGCAAGGCCTAACCATGATGCCATCGAAGTTATGTTGTAAGAACGCAACATATTATTGGGTATTATAATTTACTGCATTGGCACAATAGATAGAGACGACAGACACGCAAGTCAGATTATCTGCAAGCAGCTATCATGCATGTTAAACAGGAATACCCTGTGGCTGGCCAGAATACACTGGCTGGAATTGCTGAGATTGCGTCTGGTGTGATTGGGGAGACGTGCCACTGTGAGTATTATAGGTCCCTAGCTGCTGAGGCTGCACAACAGGAGCATACCCCGTAGGAGGAGCGCGCGAGTACTGACTCAGAGGAACCTGCTGTTGTATGGGCTGCGATTTTTGCCCAAGGAATGTGGCCTCTTTGACAGAATACGTCCAGACACCATTGCCGCGAGTGGATCCAATGATAGAAAACACCAGCAGTACGCCAGTGTAGCCCAAGACTAAAACGACATCGTTAGAAAAAGACTCAACCTAAACCACGGTAAAACTTACATATAAAGAAGTTGAGGAATGCGAAAGCCTCCACTGCTTGCAACTCCAGGCAATACGTTTGGGCCTCGGTACCTGGTAGTTACTGAGTATGATACAAAATCATATCTGAAATTCACGCACCATCCGCATAAATACAACCTCGAGGGTAGTAAAAGTTGAAGGTGGAGACAGCTTCGCCAGCAGTGGCAACCCACAGAATCGCAAGGGTGACTGTATATAGAAGAATTAAGACTAACACACATCATTCCAAAGATAACACATACAAAGCCATGAGAGCTCGAAGACAACCATGGAGGTGAACGCCCCACGTCGTATAAAATCAATGATCAACCTGTGAGCGACTGAGACAATCAAAGTAACCAAGCATACGCATACGCACATGACCGGGATGGTAAAAAGCGTCAACATCGCGGTTGCAAGTCCCAAAGCACTGAAGGTGAAGTAGAAATCATCTGGCACCGTCAACGAGATGAAGTAGGCATTGAGGCCTAATCCAATGAGGGAGAACGCGATAGCCAGTGCTGTACGATTACATTCAAAAGTGAGCTTTCAACAAACAGATTCAGAACTTACAGAAGAGAGTGATACGAGCCACGGAGAACCATCCCAAGGCCATATTGAACAAGGTCTCTAAGAAAATCGTTCAAAGGAAGGGACGTAAGGCAAGGTCTTTAACCGAACGTTGAAGCTTATATTGGTAGAGTCCCTTCTCGTATAAGTCCGCTCAAGGAACAAGGTCCCAAGATCAAAATTGTTAGCAAGATCCGTTTCTGGGCATCCAAGTACTTACGTTTAGCACTGGTTTGGACCAAGATTTTTTTGGTCAGAGCCTTCACATACACGATCAGGCACTACATTGTTCGTCACGGTGCATATTTGGATCCTTTCATTCAGCAAGCACTTGTGTGATTGAAGCTCGGATCTAGTCGAGATGCGATGATTGTTTTTGTTCATGCTGAGCAGATTGAAGGTTTCGCACATACTTGATGGGTATCATACTATGCACCTGGCCGTTCATCACCGCGTAAAATCAAGAATTTTGTGCCTGTCGACGATCAGTGATCGACAAGGGTAGTACTGACTACCGACCTTTCGAACATGATTCCTGCAAAGAGAATATTAATGGTGTGTGCGTTTCACGCCTCCCACTCACTCAGCACCAGGCTCGAGGATTTGGTATGAGAGACTTGAACTAAACGTAACAAACGTACCATGTTCTGTTCGTGACCAATATTATTGCTGATAGATTGACATCAAGGCTATGCGACTACCCACGGTTTCAGAATTTCATTGGTCCTGTCCTGACTGTGGCGGTCAGTCGAAGTCGGATCAAGTCATTTTCACTTCGAATTTGGTACAAGACAGGGCACAGTGCCTGGACAGAGACTGCGCATTCGGGGTCTCCACAGCCCTTAGTCAGCACATATTTGTGCTCCTGCTATGTTGCCGTTTGCGCGTCTCTCCCATAGTCCCTTGAGTGGCATGCGATTGTCTCACAAAAAGAACGGACATTCAAGGAAACTAAGCTCCCTTGTTTGCTGCTCAGTTCCTTGACCACATGCTTCAGTTCACGACAGGTCAGAGAAGGGTTCGGTTAGCCATCACATCGTTGGACCCAATGAACTTAAAACAGTCCCAGTAGTCTCTCTTTCCCGTCAGTATCAGTTCCATCATTCAATTTGACAAACTCTTATATAGAATAATACAACACCCACTTCCATAACTACTGATCCCTACCCGGACTCCGGTTTCTGTCAGCCAAAAGCTATGGATCCAGTCGTCTTCGGATATTGGCGGCAGCATGTCCCAGGATTGTCGACAAATGGCTCGCCCCCACCCAGGGCTCGACCGGTAAGCGGAATAGGTGGCGATCTACTCAGGGTCGCGGGAATACCTGTGTTCACATTGAGTCTACTTCCGGGTTCTAGATGAGGAGGGCGCTGATGAAGAATGCGATCGCATGTGTGCACAACTTGTTGCTATTGGCCAGCCCTTGTACTGTTGATGACGTAGTCTTGCGTAAGCTTGTAGGATGAACTCCGCAAGGGCAGTAGACCCGTTCCTGGGTTGTATCTGGCAGCCTGGCTGTGAGGCTAGACGGCCGCGCGCTAGTCATGTATAGCGTATACAACAACTTGAATATAGGCGCGTGAGACGTCATGAAAATGCCGACGTTATCAAATTTAGGCTTTGTTGCAATGAGTGCAGAAGGTCATCGGGTACGGGTTTGATGGAAGGTCCTCGTACAAACGACAAAGACGCCCAGGCAGCGACGTCGATATCCTTAGTCCTCGCTGACAGGTTTAGTGATGAAAACTTGATACGTACTATCAGGGACATCTGTCGTGAGGTTGGGCGGTCCCCAGGGATGTCTACAGACTGCACGATTTACTTGGGTCCATAGCCTGGCGCTCTTAGTTTGAACGATCGTTGAGCCTGTCGAAATCTCCACATTCTCTCTAATCGCCTTGACTATCATTATCCAGAATCGGCATGACGAACCGGCCTCGCTCAGCCTCGTTTTAAGGAAGCAAGTGGTGCTTTCAGGCTTGGAAGCTTGATGGCGCAAGGGTGCATCAAAACAAAACAGCAAGCTCTGTCCGTTAATCGATAACGGACGTCTTTCGACGTGTAGGTTGGTGTTGGTGGGTAACTCATCATTGAGTTTTTTTCACATGCGCTTTGAAAGAATCTTGCCAGGTATACGGGGAGTGGGATGAATCGCTGCTCTCAGCGTGGGAGTCCCCACTGTTTTGCGCGGGCCGGACGCTTTCAACTTTCAGCTCAACCTAATACTATGTGCCCACTGGTCACTGGCAGTTCCAAGGAACGAGCTTAGTTCAGGTCGAACCCCAGTGATTGGTCTACTATCTCTCAGTCGATGGAGCCGTGTACTTCCATCTAGGACAGCAGTGTTGTGACTCACAACGCATACTGCGTGTCGAAAATTAGTGACGGAGCCTTGTACTTCCATCTAGGCCAACATTGTTGCAATTCATATGGCGTACGTACTGCATGAAGAACGACCGTCTTGCTTCTCAAGGTTCTACTGAGAGAGACCAACCTACGTCATGATGTCTCCGAGTACTAGGTGTGGAGTCTCCTACGAGTGCATCTTCACTATGAACTTGAAGCAATCGTAAAGCGCATGGAAATGGTGGTACAGTACTCTAGTTATAACCCTTTTACCGAATGACGAAAGATTCCAAGTACGCTGATCGTTGTCTAGATTACCTTCGGGTCAAACCCAAATACAGGGTAAAATCCAGCACGTCCAGTGGCAGTTTTGTTACATTCTTACAGCACCGCTTGACCCATAGCTCCAGAATACACGACCCAGAGACCAGCTACAATGAGCACCGCCCGCCTCAGAATCCTTTACAGGATACAATATATGGCGTTCATTGTCCGATTCTGCAACTGTGGAAAACCCATAGTGAGCAACTCCGATGTTGCGACTGTGTTGACCATTGCCTATGGAGTATTATTGGCTGCGAGGTAAGTAATTAGTGTATGTGCTTCCTCGATATAAATGAGACCGCTGGTGTATTCATAAACCAACACCTCCCTATTTTCGAGCTCAAGTCTGAATCATTGACTGCCATGGCACGTTACACCCAAGACCAGAATTACCGTAATGGCAGGAGTCGCCGCAGCGGTCAACAGCATGCACATGGTCGAGGGGATGGGTATAACACACAACATGGACAAGATGAGCATGTCGCTCTTGACCAGCAGATACCTCGTGCGTCTATACATATTCACTATGTGATAACTTTTGATTTTTTCCGCAGATCATCGCATGCAGTTAAACAATTTTCTGCAACATAGATTCAGAACTACGCAAGGCTTGCGGATCGATAGCTCATCAACTGGTCCCGGGCACGCACTGCAATGGACCGTGATCGTATACTGTAAGCTGTTGTTCAAGCGCTTCCTGATACATGCCTAATTTATCCTTAGTCCGAGACAATGAATATGGCAGAGGCGAGGGGGCAACCAAAGGGATTGCCACAGAAATTGCTTGTCAGTTTGCTCTGCAAGCCCTCATGCAACCAGGGAATGGCCATTGAGTTCCTATCGTTGATTTGCCGTGTAATTGCTTTTACTGTTTTGTTATCATTTCACCCTCTCACAAGACTCTTCTGGATTTCTGGATAATTTACTTACGTGGTTCTGACGTTTGTGATCATCAACCTTGTATTTTCTTCTTCAGTGTAGTCCCCTCGTAGTCCCCTACTTGTATTACATTTCTTTATAGTTAACGCGTCTATCAGAATTTCTAAAATGAATATCATGAAGGCGTGAATAACTGACGGCAGTGAAGCACGTGGCTGTGCTACTCCTCGGCTTCAGGTTGGGTGAGAAGAACCGCCGTGGCCCGAGTCGCTTCCCGTTCCCGTACACAATACTGTGCAACAACGTGTAATCGTTAAAGGCATAAATGCGTATTCCACATGCCTGCTTTTCACCGCACAGGCCCGAGCGCACGTCTGCCTGGTGCCACTTTTTGATCTGTTACCGCACCCTGAGTACATATGACGGGCGTAATGCGCGAAAGTTTTAACAACAGATCCAATCGCAGAGGTTCCTGGTTAGGTCCTCTAACATCGTCACACCGAACGGGATTAACTGACTTATCACCGGTTCGTATAGAAGTGTTTACAGACAATGTCGCTACAGTTTATGATTGACTACGCCCCACAGTATCGTTCGAACTTCTCCCGTACCCACTGGCAGGGGAAATGCGTATCATTCATTCCGAGCTCGGTCGCAAGGCGCTTGGAACGATCCACTGCACAAGATACATGAGGGGCACATGTCACTTCGTCCCTCGCATCTTCTCACTGAGTCGATCGTCATTGCATGCAGCTCGCCCTATTTCATGCATCTTGGGAATTTTTGGTTTTCCGCCCGTTATGTTCCTCAACGCCGCGATCATGAAAACATTATTCTCCTAGTTCCATCGGGCATTGCCTCCACTCAACACCGTCTCTCTTTTTCCAAAGTCTCATGAAGCGTACGTTTGAATGGTATAATAACTGTCAGTGAGTTCAGGTATGGTCATCAACTCAAACATTCGCAATGTCTGGAAGGAACCAAGCCAATGGTTTGTCACAGTCCCTTGCGGTTCTCTGCCTCAGCTGACGACATTTGAAGACTCTACGAATGCCCTTAACAACTGTTCGTGCAATTGCTTTGGTGATCTAAAAGACTTACTGTAGGTTTCAGATCTCCAGTCCATTGGACAAAGCTCTGCTTTAAGCTGGATCGATGTACGAGAGGGCCTGACTCATCAATACGTATGGACCTCGACATGTAGAAGCAAGTTTTTTTTGTCCTTGTATCCGCTTATCAGACGTCTCTGATCCACCATTCAAGTTTCCGGGGTTCCCTATGGAGTCGGCTCGGGGACTCATAAACATCAAGCCAGAAATGTTGCGGCTAGTCACGCGCTGACTGCATTAAGGTCTGATCAAGGCTGAATGACAAGTTACCGCCGCGGAGGCTGGTTCTCGGATGTCAAAGCGTTAGTCAAGTTCATGTTGGATTGATTATCTTCATTTGTTGGCATTTCCCCCTTTTTGCAAGTTGTGCATTTCTTCTACGTTCATCCTCATGTATTTTCATTCATCAATATGCATAACCATTCATCGTACACACTTCTTCAATGGAAGTTCCTGTACCTGCACCGTTTTAGTTTATACACGTCATTCATCTTATCTAATCTGTCTCATTAAAGCATCAGGGTCTGATTATTTTTGCCCCTCTCAGATCTTTTGTTCATCCTAAGTTAGACGACACTCGCCAGCTAGTAAATGTCGATGAAACCCCTTACCACGCAGCACTTGCTGTTGACCTGAGTGCTATACTCCGTCTCCCATCCAGACCAGCACGGGTAACATATCACTTTGCAGTTTTTCATTAGCTTTCGACCGTGCTATGCTGGAGATCTAGTAAGACACCGGAAGCCATTATGCTGACTCAAACACGGTGATGTTACTTAGCTCCTTCCGGTCAATATCTAAATTCCTATGTTGTATCGAAACAATCGTCTAGATGAACTACAATGATATCTTTATACACTGCGGCCCTTCCAAGTCTTGGATCGACGCCCACAACAATTAACCTTTCAACATCCACAGTTTAGATTCAGAGACACTCTTATTTGCCAATGATTCCCTATGGACCCTGATCGACCTCCATCAGTTCCCAGATTTGTCACATGTCGGTGACTAGACTTGGGCCCCAAGTATGATCGATCTGCTGTCGGACTTATGGAGAGAGTGCCGACCATAAATCTCCGCTGTATCTGTCCGACCCTCGCGCGTGTGTCGTATGGCCACGCGATCGTTAAGTTTTTCTTATCTACATCTTCACCGGGCCTCTTTCAAGCGCGCAGAGCCGCCGTGGTCAGGAATTGTTGCTGGTTGCATTGCATCATAGCATAAATAGATCGCATCTCAGCCACTCCTTGGTTCCGTCCCCTCAATATGGGTTAACCAGACTATAGGTCCATTATATCCGATTTTGCTAGCCTCCTAGTGCCTCGATCGGTGTTCAAACTGGACCGAAGTGTTGCGTGTATTATTTGTTTGACACCGTTGTATATCATTCTTGGTACCGCTCCGTCTTCCAGGGACTCTGCCTTCTATGGTTGTTAGAGCAGATGAGCGGCTTTGCAAAAAAAAAGGTGATGTTTACCTCGGTCTTCAAGAGCACTCCCCTGCAGCTTCTGAAATAAATTGCAGTTATGTTTATCCTGTGCAGCTTTTCTGATCAAATACGACGGGACTTTCTTCATTGTGGCCACGGGAACTGCGGTTACCTGGTTTCCGTGACCAATGCAGACGATATCGGACACTATCGGTATTCACTTTGGCTACCTCGCGGCATGTCGTTGGACCTGCAGATTTAAATACGCATAAGTTGTGCTACAGAACAGACAAGTACTCTTCACTTTTCCAGCTTTACAAGACTTTAATCTGTTGCCTGCATATAATGTCGCGTATGTTATCGCATCTAGATTATCACTGAATAATGCTGATATTTCTCCAGGTTACACTATTGCCCTGAACAACCGCAAGTCCAGCCTTTATTTTATTAAAGCCAGGAGATGCTAATTGTGACACTGTAAAGACTATCAATCCCGCCACAGGCTTCACGCTGTCACCTGGGCTGAGGTTCAGTCTGGGCCGCCGCATGCTCTCTCATGGACAATGACTTGCAAAGGCACGTGTTGTTCATCTCTCGGAACGAAGAATTCGTCTGAGACGTCATCATTCACAGTGGAGGGCGAAGTTGTCAGTACTGCCACTGCCAATCAGAAGGGTGTCGCTAAAGAGGAAGCGGCGCGGATTGCTTGTGAAAGATTGGGCATTAATTGATATTTTTGCTTAACGCTCCATTGTACAACGGCTTGCTTTTATCTACTATGTTCCTATAGACATTCATCTTTGTCAACAGCGCAAATACTTGGTCTGTTCTTTTGCGAGAGGAATGTCACTAGACTTTCGACAACATAAATCTACGTACGTGTTGGCCTCTTCGATTTGCGACCTCGAGGTAAACATAGCCGCTGAGTTTGAATCTCTCTCTCAAAACGGAAATGCAATTGCCGTGTTTGTGGCTTGCACAAAGCCATCACCATGTCACGGCGGTTTACTCCACACATAGTCGCAGTTTTAACAGGTATGAAGTAGAGTCATCTCAATCTCTGTCATTAATGTTATATCCGCTGTGAAACTAACCAGGCGTCGCCTCGGGCGTATACATATTTAAACCTCTTTTCGAAGAAGCTGCTGCGAAGTGAGTTTGCCATGCATATTGTGCGATCCTATCCCAACTTAAATCGCCATCACATCAGCCGAAACCCAATCCCTCCAATGAACGCGTCAACAACATCACCCGGGGTGCCAGGGAAATCCCCTGCATCTTCGCCGTCGCCGCATTCTTCGGCAAAGTGACATTACACTGCGCTAGCACTATATGGAGTAACGTGCAGCAGGGTATGCGCCCCTAAAGGCGTGCCCACGCACTCTTTGATCAGAGGTGTGCTAGTTTATGGTCGCCGCGGAGAACGGCGGCCGTACTCGGAACACCTTGTGCCCGGAAAAGGGGCGTAGACAGTTCAATGCATTTTCATGTGTTGTCTTGGACGATTAGTAACGCGCGAGCTTCGCTGAGCTCCATTAACATGCGCTGGTGTGTATCATGATATGTAAGATGTATGTTTGTATCTCCGGTCTTATTGAGGGCGGGGATCCTATATACTGTAAGTCGAAACCCCGGTATCTCCTCAGCCTAATGTCTACCCAACGCTTCGGTATCACCGTCGATCGACAACCATTTTCATTGACGCGTTACCATCGGTGTTCGCAGCACGCCGCTCCCATATCTAATTTGAATGCGTGAGATCACACAATCCATAATACAGGAATAGCGCACCTGCAGCACGGTCTCCCCAAGGAAGATCATCTCCTTGCGCGTTTCTTCAACGATGAGGTCTTGGATCTGGAACCATTTCTCGCCCTCGCCCCCCCCACCAGCGGCACGGAGATGAACTTTCCAAATCGTGTTTTCCTTGTCGCGAGTAGTTCCAGCAACTGATTCATGGGTTACATTGGCGATCAGATCATAGACGGTTGGCGGATGTGTTGGTGCTGCATCCAGATCTATAGCACAAAATCGTATCATCAGTCATTGGTTACGCTAATGCGATTATCACGTAAGTATGGCTCAAAGCGCTCACATTCACGGAAATCAACTCCTCTGAGTGGGAATGTGACAATCGTCGGGTTTTTCTCCTCGACAAAGGCGTTCTTTGTAAATCGCTTGTAGTGTAAAATAATATACTGTGGGAGGCGTTGACACTTGTACCTGCGTAACTGACCAGCAGACTCCTGTATCCGTATCATATCAGTTCGGTTCGATAAAAGAACCGAAAAGCAGAGCCAAACTCGCCTGCGTGGTGACTCCATCATACTTGGCCAACACAGAATGAATGCTAACTTGTGGGATGATGTTCTTCTCGATCGTATCTTGGAAAAGAGGTGGTGGGGGAAGATCAACC